CCATGCTTTTTTAAGACCATTTTATTTTTTTTTTTTTTTTTTGGGAAAAGTTGAGCCTCAATGATGATATGAGTAAATCAAACACACAATTAAACTCAACCGTTGTGATGCTATTAAGTGCACTCTTTAACTTCTAATTCGTGACTTTCTTTTAACTTGCATTATGAAATTGTTTGTGCATAATTATTACGAGACAAAAACATAGTTTTTGCTTTCATCACATCAAGTTTATATATTTTGAAGCATTTTTTTTATAGTATATATACTCGAGGCATACTTTTATTTTTCTTCAATTTCACCTTACTTCCTCTATTTTTTATATACAATAAAATCACACAAGAGAATGAAAAAATATGAACTTTATGAATATTTTTCCCAAAAAAAAAGACATTTCACTCCATGCCTTTTGGAGGGAAAAATGTTAAGTGTGGTGGATCACAAGTCTGGACGATGGTCCAAATACTGCCATCCAATCACAGTGGCCCATATGGAGCATTATTTGAATATAAGATCACTACACATAATATTTTCTCCTTTTCAATATCTTTAAAAAAGTGATCAGAACTTTAAGTAGCACGACATAATATTTTCTCCTTTTCAATATCTTTAAAAAAAGTGATCAGAACTTTAAAACAATGATTGCATATTCATGAGCAAAAGATTAAAATTTTATTAAATTTCATTCAATTTTCTTTAATGCCAAGTTAAGGTCAAGTAGCACAGGCATATATTTCTATTAGTGAAATTTAATTACATATCACACAATCTTCAACTAAATACATATCTAACACCCAAAAATTAATATTTACACTATAACATTCTGCGTAAAAAACCGACTGATGAAAATATACATTTTACTTCTCAAATGATAAAAATGATGATGTTTTTAATGTGATGTTAAAATTTTAAACGATTTAACATGAGAGTTTAGGTGCTATATATATATATATATATATATATATATATATATATAATATGTGATATGTATGTAAATGCCCCAATAAATTAATGATGCTTGATTAATACAATCATTAACATTTAATTCATACATCAAACAATATATTGTAGTATATTAGTTTTCATGCTCATTTAAAAGAAAATAATGGCCATGCAATAAGAAGAGAGAGAATGTGTATGTCCATATTCTCTCTTCTTTCTTATTGGCTAATCATAAATCTATGGAACCTAATATTTTTTCCATTAAAAATTACTTTTTTTGCACTATCATTAGTTATCATTAATGAAATAAGTTGAAATTTTCTATATAAAAAAAATCAATAATGGAACGAATTATAATTTATACGTTATAAACGAACCTGAAGAAGTCGCTTGGCCAAATCAAGCGCTATAACTCCCGCGCTGCAGCCCATCCCCGCAAGATTATAGCTTCTCACATTTCCCCTTAGTTTATACCTATTAATAAGCATCGCTGCCATGGTGGGCGTCGGATTATAGATGGAGCAATTAACCACCACCACACCAATATCCTTCGCCCTCACTCCCGTCTTCTCCATCAGCTCATCCACCGCTCCAAACACCACCATCGCCGCCTCCTTCCTCGCCGCCTTCGCGCACATGTTGATCGGCGTTCCTAGAAGAGATTCAGGAAGGTAAGTTTCCTGCCCGATGCCGGACCTCTCCAGCATCCGGCGCTGGAACCCCACGCTCTCATCGGTGAACGTTCCCCCGCTTTTGAATTTTTTCTTGAATGTTTCTCTCGTGACTTTGTATTGGTTCTGTGGTTTGAAGCAGGAGAAGTTGATGAGATAGATTGGGCGGGGGCGGTGGGAGATGATGAGGGTGAGGAGTGAGATGAGGAAGATGAGGATGGGGAGGAGAAGGGATGGGATGGGATAGTGGTGATGAAGAATGGATGTGAGGGTTGGTTGCAGAGGATTGGGGAGGTTGGATGTTAAGTTTTGCTGCATTGTTAGTGCTATATGGTTTGTCATGGCGTAGATTGGGAGGGCAGGTCGGAAGAAGAAGGAGATGGAATGAGGACAGCTTTACTGAGGGAGGGAGCTATTTGTAGTGTTGGTGGGCTAAGCTAAGGTCGGTGGTAAAAATTTAATTGAACTTTTAAATGTTTATGAAAGATTTACATACAGACCACTCAATTCTTATGTTTTTACATATCTAATACCAAAATTTCATTTTTTTACATACAAACGATCTTATCCATTCATGAAAATTTGGAAATCACTTTTTAAAGTTTAAAAAGATGGTATTTTTGATGTAATATGGATGATTTTAGTGGCATTAATATAAAAAACAAAGTTTAGGGAGTATATTATAAATGCAGGGGGTTGGAAAGTTTGGAGACTCTGTAAAAATTTATGGAGGAGCACAAGTGCCCAACAGCCCCATCAAGTGTATTAAATGATGAGGAAAAATGGTGCTGTAATCAGACTCCTCATGCTGATACTGATATTACTCATTCATTGGTTGTTAGCATCTCGCTCATGCTGTCACCGCTACTCTTTCATTGGCTATAAACATCTCAGGCTCCATTCGTTTTTTCTTCATTTGTTTGGTGAACATTTATATAGCTCTCATGTTCTATAGTAGTAGGATCTGGTTTTGGAGGTTTACTATAAGCAAGTTTAGATTTATAATTATTACACACACATTGTGTAATTCGTTAATTCGAAATTATGTACAGAGATTTATTAAGAAATAATAATTTTATGAAAAATTGAATGCATATCTATGAAAATTTTGTTTTAAGTGTTGTGCATCAAGAACGTGTCAGCATGAATCTTGTGGAAATTGAAGGGTCCAGAGGAAGTACGTACACGGAGGGCCCACTGATAGAATACCAAGATGTCCCATTTCTACTATTCCAAACCAAGGATGAAGGCTAACCGAGCCAGGAGAATGATCAAAGAATGATCCAAGTCCGAACCAATCCAGTTAGAACATGACCCATAAACATCCAAGCTAACCACCACTAGAAAGTAAAATAAATGTAACGACCTACCTCTCAGCAAATCTGGCCTAAGGAAAGAATCCAATTCCTCGACAACACTTGCCATCCTACGGACCCCTCCGAGTATTCTTTGTTAAGGAAGAAGAATTAGCAAAACAATATAGCCTCACAATCATTCCAAAGGACTCCCTCATCCAGAAATGAGTTATTTATTAGGATACGGTGATCTCCATATGCTTGATATCCTAGTCTCGTTCTACCGACATGAACTCGTCTAGGAATTGAGGATCAATATTCAGACTATATCAACTGATCGACAAATTCTAGTACACCAAATCAATCTTGTCAATCCGAAGCTAATTAAGACTAGTCGACTAATTGCACTGGCTCAGCCTAACCAACCAAATCAACCTTATAGAGCCGAAGTGATGACATCCAAGGCGACTAAGCCATAGGACAGCCAAGCAATAGGCTCATGATACACCAAAAATATATGCATTATACTCATTTTTGGTGACATTGCACTTTAATGGAATGTATTTTTAATGTTTTCTTGCAGGTTGTTGAATTTTAGAACTTGGAGCAAAAAGGAAACAAAAAGGATGAAATTTGGAGTTAAAATTGAGAAGTTGAAAATTTATTCAGCGCTGACGGCGCTGTTTGACAGAGAACATCGAATTAAATTACGGACCACACCATCTCTAGTGCCGACGAAACCAATGTCAGTTAAGACCCTGTTTCTAGAAGATTTGACTAATTTGGATGCTTTTTGAAGAGTTTTTGGATGCATCTATTGGAGAACCAACTCTATGCTCTATTTGGGGCGAAAATTGATCAGAAAATGGGAATCAGAAAATGGGCTCCTTTTCGCCATTCCTCGCTACCATCCATTCTCTTACATACCATACACTTTTTCTTCTTCATTCAACCACCATTTTGGAGTCCATTAGTGATTATTATTTAAGAATTTAGAGTTTTTGTGCTGAGATTAAGTGTGAATGTTTCTCTAAGAGTGTTGGAGAAGGAGAAAAGTGAGACATTTCTTCTTCCTACATTTCCTATGAAAGGATACAAGGGATTTGGTTTGAGAAAAAGTTTCAGATAAGTGTTGTTTGTTTTTTATAGTGTTGTATGGACTTTCTTTTATATATGAAATTTGTGTTTTGTTGTATCTTTCTCATGAAGTCTGAGTAATTTCCTTTATTTTTGTCCCTATTTTGAGATATGATAAAATAAAGATATAATATGAATGTGTCAATGTTAAAATATAAAATAAATTGTGATGATTTTTCAATTCCGAACTTAATTACTTTTCGATCTGGCCAATTGAATTGTTAAAATTTGTTGTGAAACATATGATCCGGGAAATGAAGTATGAGTTCTACAACAGAGTGAGGGTTACATTTGATTCCATGAAGGAGAATTTCATTCTTGGAATTAAGTGCAAATAAATAGGGAAATATATATTGTTGGGTGTAGAATTGGAGATTTTAGGGTGGCAGACTAAAATCCCCAATTCGGTCTTAGTGTTTAAGAACTAAAGCAAGACTTAGCTTTCAGGTGAAGGGAAGTGGGAGCTTTGGAGTGGGAGCCAACATCCGCCTAAGCCTAACCACGGATTTAAGGACTAAACATGAGATTAGCCAATGATTTTCTATAACACTATATCAGGGTAGAGAATTAAAATTGCTCCTATTTGGTACAATACATATTAAATCCATTTATCTAATCTCATTTTACCAAAATCTCATTATAGTGAGAAAGATGTTTTTTCACATAAGAAATCTTCATCACATAAACATAGTTTAATAGTTTAGTAGTTACTATTTAAACTTTGCATTTCAATTTTGCTAGTAGTTAAATAATTTAGTTCTGATAATATCTTAACATTTGAAATTAGTGATAGTAAATTTGTTTTACTTTCTGTAAATTTCCTAGTTAATTTATCATTTCAAATTTAAACCTTCCCCGTGGGATCGATATTTGGGGCTTAAATAGAAAGTTATTTATTATTTGATAACGATATATTACTTGCGTAGAATCTCAACATTAATTGCTTAAAATTCTTATTTATAAAAGATTGCATCAAGCTTTTGACACCGTTGCATAATGAAGTCAATTTTATATATTTTACACAACTATATTTCATCGTGGGATCAGCTCATACATGTAAAAGATCTATATTAATATCCTTTACAACCCCCATTAAGAGAGGAGAAGAAATATAATATCATATATTGTACCCCTTCCCTTATAAAAAGAGAGATCATTTTAAGAGAAATGACTAATAGACAAGATATTTTACTATTCATCATTGTTCATCTCTCCCCCCCTCTCTCTCTCTCTCTCTCTCTCCATTCTTACACTCTAAGATTCTTACGCTCTAACCCTTGGGTATGATTTATAGGCAAATCAGGATATTCAACATGCATGTGCATAGTTTTTTCTATTGATGTATTTTTAAATTTTTTGAAAGGTTTTATGATAGAAAATCCTCTATATTTTAAAAAAATTATTAACACTTATGGAAAAATGCTAATTTATTTTCAAGCATAAAGATCAATATAATAATTGAGTCAAAAAGAGTATTTCTTGTGATTAATGATTTAATGATCATCAACGATGATCGCCATCACTCGACTACTATTATCGAACCATAATTATTCAACTAACGCTGCTTAATTGCCAAATAATGTCAATGTTCACCATGAACGTCTATTTTAACAAATGTCATCACTAATAAGACTGATATATGCAATGATATTAATATTAGCACACATCAACGCCAACAAGGCTTATCCACGCCATCAACATCAATATTTGTCATCACCAACAAGTTTAGCACAATCTACTGATATGAACTAATGTACTCAATAAGGATAATGCATCCTGTTAATACAAACATTAATGCATGTTATGACCAACAAAATAGATAAACATCATCGATATCAATGTTAATTCACAATATCACCAATAAGGCTCATGCTAACAATCAACAGTAAGCTCATCATGCACTATCATAATTTACTCGGATGCCAAACAACAATGATAATGTCGATACCCAAATTTGACACTAAATTTATGCTCACCTTCATGGTCTTTAAACACTTATCATTAAAGACAACCATAGAATAGACCATTGACAATCTCTTTTTGATAACTATCACATCTCGAGCATCCTCTTAAGCCCATCTTGGAAGCGATCTTTCAAAATTTATATATGTTATATTGTATCAATATTTTCTCTGAACTTTTCAAATGTTAACAAAGGCTTATGTTGTTAATGAACTACTTAGACAACCATGCTTTTCCTTTTGTCAAAATGGTAATCTAGACATCCCACTTTATAACCAAAACTTAGCTATTGACCAAGTCAATCTCTTTGACCAAGCATATGGGCAAAAAAAAAATTCCCCACTATTCTATATGGCTCAAGAATATGATAAGAATGAAGTACTGTGGAAAATTTATTATGTATTAATATTGAAATCTAAGAAAGGAAATATAATGATGATATATCACTTGAACAATATTAAATACTTAACGATTAATTTGGCTACTTGAATGCTTTTGCCCTAGTTTTGGATTTTGTATGCTTCACTTAGACAACACATTTACACAATCATGCATTCATAAGAAATAAAAAATATCGATTAAGTGTTAATAAATGCCAAAATATAAAAATAAAGTTTCATTGCATAAAATTTACATTACAAGTTAATTTTTTTCATTTTTGGTATCCAGTGGCTCCAATGGAGCTTTTTCTCAGTTTTCAACCATGACGAAAAAGAGTGGCATTGTGCTTCCACCCAATTTAAGATATGGATGATATTGCAATTATATATTTCAAACTATAGAGTGTTCGTTCATTATAAGAAAGTATGTAATTCTGACGGAAGAGTGTTCGTTCATTATAAGAAAGTATGTAATTCTCACAGAAAATTGGCAAATTTCATTAGTTGTTTATACTTTTAAAAATTTTTTATGGCCTCTATGATTGTTGGAATTCTAAATGTGATGGGGATTTGGAAGCCTAAGGAGATGGGGAATCAGAT